GAGAAGAGAAGAGAAAGGAAAATATAACTAGAGGAAAATATATGTAAATGTTTATCTGATCTCAAGGTAAGGAAAGGACTTCCTAAGCAAAACACTAAAGGCCAAAAAGATGACTGACACACAGATAGAGGTTGAAAGGGTAGTCTTCAAAAACATTAAGAAAATCTGTATCTCAAAAAATGTCATCATTAAAATTAAAAACTATTGGTAAACTTGGACAATATACTTCCAACAGATATGCGAGACTGTGAGTTAATATTTCCAATATATAAAGAACACATATGAATCTATTAGAAAAGGATAAAGATTGTGCTTTCAAATTTACAGTATATATTATATATTACATTACATGTAGTTAACAAACATGATAAACAAAAATGGATTGCTTGCCATCATAAAACTTTTAGGAAAAGAGCTGATTACTAAAAGAGGTCCTTTAACAAAAATCATAAAGGGAGCTATGTATATTTAATGAGTAGACACACACACACATACACACAAAAAACCCAACTCATGATTTAATTTTCACTATGACAAATGCCCTGAATTTACATCAAAACCTCTAAAGTTGAAGGAATCCAAGCTACTGCTAGGTAGTCAATAATTTTTCCAATAATATATGTTCTCTTTTCTCATTATCGTTTGCTAAGATTTGGACTGAGCAGCATGATAAAACTGACTTGAAAATTAATGATTTTATCACATCTTGATTAAAATTTTATGACTTTATGAGTTCAATTCTGAACAGAAATAAAAATGATTTTTCACTAGGGAAACAGAATTTAAATGCATCAGTAAAACTAAACAGAATGGAATGATTTCTCTTTGTTTCTGGCTGACTCCACAGTCATTTGTCAACTTATTTATTTTAGAAATATTATTCAGAGATATGCAGTACTTCTACTATGACTTGATAAAGACTCAGGCTTATATACTATCCATTTTTAAAGTGCCTAATTTAGCTTTCAGCTAGTTCTTTCCAGAACCTTTCTTCTTTGCTTAGTCCCAAGTGTGTTTTAAATTAACTGCATAAAGTCCATCTGCACAGTCATTCATATACATTTGGACATGCTGGATTCTAAGTTTCTAAAATCCATCTTTAGAATGAAGATTATCTACTATAAAAGAACATGCTGACAAATAAACTTTACAGCACAGAACTCAGTTTAGGCTCTACAGAACAAAGGTAAATCATAAGTTAACCTTATATACCTCTCACGAAAGAAAAATATCAGTCAGATCTTTATTTATCCCATTAATGTCTCCAGTTCAAATAGTGCCTCTTTAAAGCTAATGATATCTCAGCAATATAATATTCTTCCTCAGAAAACTGGATCAAAACATCAGGATCATTCCTTAGGAAATTCCAGGACACTCCCATTACCAGTTCTTTGTACTGTTTTTCTTGAAGGTCAATTCCAAACCAAACCAATCTTTTTTGTAAGAGTAAAGTCAAATTATAGTTAATGATTGTATATGATATGTGCTATGCTTGGCTGTACCTGAATTTTATAACTATTATCAACAAACGCAATTTCAGTGAGAGAAGAAAAACACCCAACAATACAATCTACACAATAATAAAGAGATTAAAACAATTTGTTTTCCAAACAGGATGAATTCCTTTTCCAAAATAATTGTACAGAAAGATATTCATATATGGTTTAGTGAAAAACCTCAATGTCTCATTTACTATCCACTAAGCAGACGCAAAGAAATTTTTGTTTTGCATGGGTAAGTTAGTGGAAGAGTGTGCAACACAAACAATAGTCTTACTAAGTTGTCTGGGTATACTGGACCACTTCCCAAAACAGAATTCTGAATTCTACCCTCAAATATAAATTAAACAAGAATGTAGAAAACTGTCAGGCTAAGTTTCCCATTTTACAAAGAAAGAAAAAAAAGAGACAGATTGACACACACACACACACACAAACACCAGATTCACAACTATTTAAAAGTCGAAAGACTTATGCGATCTAAAGAGAAACCAGAGTATGAGATTCACAAGTATTTAAATGAAAGAAGTACTACTTGTATCCTATCTGTAAATATCAAGAGTCAGATTTCCTAGCACAAAGACTTTTGCAGCCAGCCTAATAAAGATAACACTCTGCCTAGGCCCATGAAAGTTAGCCAAAGGTCATATCATTAGCCAGTGATTAAAGTAAAACTTGAAAAGAAAGAAAGTAGAAAGGAAGGGAGTGAGGGGAGGAAGGAGAAAGGAAGAAACACAGACAACCTACGGAACTGGAGAAAGTATTTGCAAATCATGTATCTAATAAAGGACTTGTATCTAGAACATCTAAAGAACTCTTAAAATTAACCGATAGACAAACAACTCAATTCAAAATGGGCAAAAATTTGAATCGTTTTTTCTTAAAAGAAGATACCACAAATGGCCAACAAGCGCATTAAGACTTTCAACATCATTAATCATTAGGGAAATGCAAATCAAAAACACAATGAGATACCACTTTACATCCACCTGGATAGCAACTAAAAGAAAAAAAGGAAAATAAGTGTTGTCAAGAATGTGGAGAAATTGCAACATTCATACATTGCGGGTATCTGTAAAACAGTGCAACCACTTTGGAAAGCTGTTTGGCAGTTCCTATAAAAGGTAAACACAGTTACCATTTGATTCAGCAATTCTACTTCTAGGTCATTCTCCAAGCAAAATAAAAAACATGTCCAATTGAGTCCAGCACAACTAGATGGTGCCCATCTACTACCACTGACTGCTCTGACAGGGATCACAACAGAGGGTCCTGGACAGAGCTGGAGAAAAATGTAGGACAAAACTGAAACTCACAAGAAAGACCAGACTTACTGGTCTGACAGAGACTGGAGAATCCCAAGAGTATGGCCCCCGGATACCCTTTTAACTGAGTACTGAAGTCACCCCTGAGGTTCACCTTTCAGCCAAGGATTAGACAGGCCCATAAAACAAAACAATAATACATGTAGCTCCACCATGTATACGAGACTAAATAGGCACAAGAGTCCAGAGGCAAGAAGGCAGAAGGGGACAGGAAAGCTGAGCGAATGGAAATGGGGAACCCAAGGTCGAGAAGGGGAGAGTGTTGACATGTCACGGGGTTGGCAACCAATGTCACAAAACAATATGTGTATTAATTATTTAATGAGAAACTAATTTGCTCTGTAAACCCTCATCTAAAGCACAATAAAAAAAATTTTTTGGCCTCATTAATAACAAATATTGGTTACAGTTGTACAACATGACTAATGTAACTGATGTCACTAAATCATGCACATGAAAAAAGTTAAACTGACAAATGTTGCGTTATATGTATTTTACAACAACAAAAATAATAATTAAACTTTTAAAATAAAAAAAATGTCCACCCCAAAACTTGTACACAAAAGTTCATAGCAGCATTATTTATAACAGCCAAAAAATGGAAGGAAACAACCTAAATGTTTATCAACTGATGAAAGGGCAAAATATGGTATATCCATACAATGAAATAAAAAACCAAAATACGGTATATTCATACAGTAAGATAAAAGGAATTTGGCAATAAAAAGGAATAAAATACTGATGTAGCTACAACATTGATTAACCTTGAAAACATGCTAAATGCAAGAAGCCAGTCACAAAAGGCCACATATTGTATGATTCCATTTATATGAAATGTGCAGAACATATGAATCCACAGAAACAAAGTATATTAGTGGTTGTCAGGGACAGGGGGAAGGGGTATCAGGAGTGACTGCTAATGGGTACAAGATTTCTTTCCAGGGTGATGAAAATGTTCTCAAATTAGAAAGTGGTGATGGATCCATAACTCTGAAAAAATTGTACATTTTAAAAGACTGAATTTTATGGTATGTAAATTATAGTTCAATTAAGCTGTTATTAAAAAAAGAAAAATGAATAAACTGAAATGCATAATTTTGAATAAGGATGTGAATATTTTCAATTTATACTTTATCAATATAACCATGACTGTGTTTTAAAAAAATCATAAATTGAAAGTTTTCTTTACGAATCTTAAGGATCTTAAGGTTGATACTAAAATTGGGAAAGCAAGTTTGCAAACCAACTTAATACCAGGAAATTAAAGGGTAAAGGCATGAGTACCTCAGGCTTCCAGGAAACTTTTCCCAAAACACTTGACTCTCCTGAGAGGGACTAAAAAGAAACCAAAATGTGCCAGCCTTCTGCTCTGTATATACTCCTCATGTCTGTTCACCCTTGTTCATGTTTCCACTTACGGTCTATTAAATTTGAATAATGTACTCAAAAGCACAAGACCTAAGCCCCCTTTATATAACAATGGCCCAGATTAAATAAATACGGAGTGTTAGAATTACAGGACAGTAGAACAAAAGAACTCTTATGACTGTTTTCCTCTCCACTCAATCCATTCCAGTTAGGCTCACACATTCCAGAAATACAAGTTATCTGATTCTTTTAAATTTTGAGAATAAGATCAAATACTTCTTTTAGAAATGTTTGTTGCTTTTTTAAAACTTGTTTTACATTGCCACACTTACTAAAATGAATAGAAATGCCAAGTTGGTTCAGAAAAAAATAAAATACAATAATGGCAAAACATTAGGTCTAACATCATTATATTCCTAACCTAATATTTTGGCTTCAAACAGAAACCATATAACCTTGATACTGATAGCAGCGCATTTAAAAAAAAAAACAAACTTTACAAAATAACTTTATAAAAATTCAGCTTAAGATCAGATATCACAACCTTACATCTAGTGATGTAACATCAACAGCACAATCCTACAGCTGTCCTCTCAGTCCTAAAGTACATCAACTGAATAGCTGGCCTTAGTTCAGATAAACTTCCATTATAGTCTCACCTGGATATAAGACATTTATTTATTACTATCCTTCTGAGAATAATCAAAGCCTAAATTCTAGCAAGCTGAGCCAAGGGTTTTAGAAGTGCTGGTGGCGCAGAACTGGGTGTATGTGGATGAGGGATTCACTGTCACCTCAAGTGCCATACCTGGTATGCACTGTGCTGTGGCCTCAGTGGTGATGGTGGCAGCGACCGGGGGCTGCTGCTGGCTGGAGCTCACTTCTGGCTCAGTGTTAACGGAGGGAGAAAGAGCTACCTCACAGGAGGAAACCTGGCTAGGCAGATGGGGCAGGAACTCTTCAGAAGCAACTTGCTCATCCTGTCCAGGCAGCTGCAGGGCAGACAAAGGGATACTGATCTGTTTGTTAGGATGGGATGTGCTCACAGGCATCTGCACTGCCACCTGCTGGTTGGTGCCATGGGCACCAGGGGGTCCTCTGTTTGGCGAAGCCAGAGACACCCTGGCAGTTTTCTGGAGTACTGGTTTGGAGATCACAGAAGGGGAAGCAGATACACCATGTGGGTCTATCTCCATGCTGATGGCAGATGTTATGTGGGGAATCAGCTTAGTAGGCCCTACACAGGAGGGACCAGCATGAGTCTGAGACTTGGGTTTTGCCATCTGCGTCAACGATAGGGCTGGGCCATCCACCCCTCCTGTCAGCTCTGCATTTGCCACAATGTAATAATCTTCAGGAATCTCTTGTTTGATTTTCTTGATGATGACATCATTGCTGCATTCATCAATCATTTGAGCCTGAGAGCTTGAATGGAGAGAAGACGGGTTTACACCAGGCCATTTTCGAGCAATACTCTGAGGCCTTTGAGTTTGGGGTTCAAAGTCACTATCTTCATCTGTAACAGAAGACTCACAAACCATGTCGAACAGGGTGTTTTCATCCTCATATTCCTCAACGGCTTCATCCAGTTCAGAAGGTTCGCTGCAGTAAGAGAAGTCACAAGAGTCTCTGGTCCGGTTACAGTCTAGTTTTGCTTTCACTGGTCTCCCAGGGTACCTTTCAACAGGGCTGGTCTGTGTCTCAGAGGGCACCCCAATTATACTGGGACTATCAGAGTTAAAACTTCTGTTATCCTGGAAACAGACCCTCTCCTGGGACCCAGCTCTGCAAGTAGCTGTCAGTGGCCAGTGATAAGCATGGCCAGCACTACAGCCCCACATTGCTGTCAGGTTCCCATGGGAACCTTCAGAGAGCAAGTGTTTCAGGTTTGGAATGAGGCTGCAAATGGTCCCATGGCTGTGGGCCCAGCTGACCAATTTGGACAGATTCTCAGATGAAGTATGAAGGCAATCCTCCATGTTACAGGATTAGCAGCGTCTTTCCTAAAGGAAAATAATCAAAGTAAAAGCCATTATTACCCAAGACACTCCTATATTTCAATTACTTCAATTTCCTCCAACTATGATCACTTGGCATCAATAAGAAATGCATTTCAAAACTGTATCTCGTTAACATCACTGCACATGGGCAAGGACTGGAAGGGAATACAGGAAAAGGTAAAACCAGCTGATGTCTGATGGTGGTGGAATTTGGAGAAATTTTTTGTTAGTTTCCTTTATTGTTATAATAATTCCTGCATAAGCAAAAAACAAACAAAAACAAAAAACCAAAAATAAAAACAAAGGGGGAGGGGGGAGGAAATAGAAAAATAAACAATTATGCTATAAGAAAAAAAAAGGAGATGAGTTTTTCATGGTACATTTTACTCCAAAGTCACAAAGACAGAGGTTCAGTCAGCCCCTTAATAATAAAATGTACACATAGTATTACTTGTATTAACCAACAGCATGAACTTGAATTTCACCCTTTGTCATGAGAAACTTTATTACTAGAGGCAGGGGTATATGTTTTGTTTCTCTCAACTAGGTGACTTAAACATATTTTTTCAACTTTTGCCAGTAGAAGTGTTACATGACCACCAAAAATTGCCACATTTTTTCACCAAAAAAATATTAAAGTGTATCTCTCTCAGACCTAGGTTACTTAAATACAGCTTTTCATCTTTTACTAGTAAATAGTGTGTTAAAATCACTAAAAAGAGCTAAACACATTTTTTTGGACCAAAAACACTACAGTGTGTCTCTCTCATATTAGATTTTACAAATAAATTCTTGGGACGTCCACAATTCTATGTCAAAATGTTTTCATTTTGATAATAATAAAAATAGATTATTACAAATCATCTGAATAATCACATTATATCCAAGTACTGGTGTGTGATTTCAGTACTCCTTTGCTTTTGTGACAGCACTCAACTTCCAATTTGTTAGGAAACCTGTTTAGCTGCTGCTACGTTCATGCTGTATTCTTTTTACCAGATATAAATATAAAATTTCCCTTTTGCACTGATAATTTTCAAATGAAAAAGCATCATGATCTGACATCATGAAAATGGCATAGTGTGATGGTGGGGTAATATACCTTTAAGTCTTGAACTAATGAAAAAAGAAAAGTAACCAAAATAAATGATATATGCTCATATAAAGGAAAATCATATACATTATGGTGCTGGTGAAGAATCCTGAATACACATGGGCTGCCAGAAGAACAAACCAATCTGTCCTGGAAGAAGTACAGCCAGAATGCTCCTCAGAAGGGAGGATGATAAGATTTCATCTCATGTACTTTGGACATGTCATCAAAAGGGATCAGTCCCTGAAGGACATCATGCTTTGTAAAATGGAGGGTCAGCGAAAAAGAGGAAGACCTTCAGTGAGACTGACTGACAGTGTGGCTGCAGCAATGGACTCAAACGTAGCACTGATTGTGAGGATGGCACAGGACAAAACAGTGTTTCGTTCAGTTGTATGTGGGGTTGCTATGAGTCAGAATTGAACTGATGACACCTAACAACAACAACGGCACAATATTTGAATGAAGATGTTGCAGCAGTTCAAATATAGAAAAACATGGCACAATCAAGCCATAAAACTGCATAAGCATATGGAACTCAGAAGATCCCATCATGCAGGTAAAAGCTATTATACAATAATAAAATGGTACCTTTGTGAAGGGGGGGTTACTATAATTAGAAGAAATAAAAGACAAAGTGGATGAAATTATAAATTTTATTCAAGCTTATCCACTTAACTCTATAGTATTCACCAACCTTTGAGAATCAACAGGTAGTAATCCTAAATTGCTTTTATTACATTCTGAAATTCACGGGCACTCTCATGAAGAGGCTCTTAAACTTTTCTTGAGTATCATAAGATTAAAATATTTTTCCAGTATTACTATTAACATATTTCAACCAGGCTACCAATGCTAAATGGTAGTTATGACAGTATAATCAGCTGATCTTTTAGGGCAATTAAATGAATTGAGTCCAAGCTGACAAGGAATAGCTATCTATATACTGTAATATATTCCGAGTTTAATACAAAACGGAATCAATGATAAGACAAAGTATTTTCAAAATATTGAGAATAAGTAGTATTTAGAGTTTACTAATTTTCTTCAGCTGTCTGATGATAAGCTCTATGGTGAACAATAATGCTTTTACTACAACTCCAAGAACTGAAAATTAACTTCAGATGTTATTTTCCCATATAAGATACGGGCAGTGATCAGATTAAACACTCAGCTTTACAGAGTTATTGAGTGACATTTCATTAAAAACTGAAATTCTAGGAATCCTGGCAGAGTTTAGATTAAGTATGTGATCTGATTACCCCAAATTAACATACAAAGCTATAAAGTTATTAATATCACATTATATGTTAACTTAGGCAATGGGGAGCCCTGGTGATGTGGTGGTTAAGAGCTGAGCTGCTAACCAAAAGGTCAACAGTTCGATGAACCCATTGCTCCTTGGAAACCCCTATGGGTCAGTTCTACTCTGTCCTACAGGGTCGCTAAGAGTTGGAATCGACTTGACAGCAGCGGGTTTAGTTTTGGTTTTAGGCAAGTGGACATTCTATGTATTAGTATTTCTATTAAAATCAAAATCAGAAACACATTAAATATAGAATCAGACTTTCTACCATTAAACCCACCACTGACCATCAGAAACATAGATTAATCATAAATCAGCAGAATAAAACATTAATTGTTATTACACTGGTATTTATTGAACAATTATTATTATCTAGGCACTGTTCTAGGGCTTGACATACATTCCCTCATTCCAATAACCCTAATAAATAATTATTCTCATTACAAATAAGGAGATTAGGTCACTTGCAAGGAGCCCTGGTGGTGCAATGGTTAAAAGCTCAGCTGCTAACTGAAAGGTTGGCAGTTCAAACCCACCAGCGGCTCTGTGAGAGAAAAAACCTGGCGACTTAACTCCCGTAAAAATTACAGCCTAGGAAACCCTATGGGTCAGTTCTACTCTGTCATATGAGGTCACTATGAGTTAGAATCGACTTGATGGCACACAACAACAGGTCACTTACACAAAGTAAGTGGCAGAGCCAAAAACTTGAACTTCATCTTACTTCACAGTTCATGCTCTTAATACCATAGTACACTATCTCCTGCATTATAATAGGAGAAAGATGTTGTCTGGTTCCCTATCACATTAATGTTGTTAATTTGAATTTACGTTGGGTTTTTACAGTTTTACTTAAATTGAATTTGTAAGTTTGTTTTGGCTTACAGCTAATATCAGGGCTATGAATGTAAGTTTTATGTTTAAACATATTTAAGCAACATTATAATAAAAACAATTTAAGTCTGTACTGAGCATAAAGAAGGTTCATGAAAATATTTTTCTTTCAAAAGATTGCAAAAAAAAGTGTTTTACAGAAAAAAAAATAGGTATGAAAACATTATGTCACTTGTCTGAAACCTGACAAAACTAGCTAGCAAGCAAATACCAGTCAATGTCTAGTTGGTTTTCACCTGACTTCAGCTGCAACAACCTGCCCAACGGTCTTTGTAGTCTATCTCTTTATAAAGTTCTCAACCTCCCAGGGGGTTTGTTGTTGTTGTTTTTAAGTCACTAGATATCAATGCTGAAAGATGAAACAAATATATTTCTTGAAAAATCCAATTTACCAAAATTGACACAAGAAGAAACAGAAAATCTGAGCCCATAACCTATAAAAGACACTGAAGTAAAAAACAAAAACCAACCAAACAAAAACCTGCACCGAAAGAAATCCCAGAGAGTTTCAGTGGTAAATTCTATCAAGCATTCAAGAAAAAAAATAATGCCAATATTATGCAAATATTTTCAAAAAAAAGAGAAGAAGGGATCATTGCCCAACTTTTTTGAGGAGGCTTGCATAACCCTAATACCAAAAATTGACAAAGACACAATAATAAAGAAAGTTGGCAGATGTGGCAACATTCTCATGAATATTGCTGCAAAAATCCTTTACAAAATATTAGCAAACTCAATCCAACAATATATAAAATGGACAACACACTGTGACCAAGATTTATGCCACGAATGCAAGATTGGTCGAATATTCAAAAATCAATGTAATTCCACATATTAACAGTCTAAAGGAGAAAAACCATATGATCATTTCAATAGATGCAGAAATGCATTTGACAAATTCAACATTCACGCATGATGATAATAATAATAATAGAAAAAAACTCTTAGCAAACAATTAATAACAGCAAACTTCCTCAAACTAGTTGCATCTATGAAAAACCTACAGCTAATAGCACATTTAATATAAAAAACTGAATTGTTTCCTCCTCAGATCAGGAATAAGGCAAGAATGACCATCTGCATCACTGCTACTCACCACTGTACAGGAGGGCCTAGCCACTAAAATAATGCAAGAAAAAGAAATAAAAGTAGAAAAATTGGAAGAGAAAAAGTAAAACTGTCCTATTTGCAGATGATGCAATGGCTAATGCAATGGTTGGTCCACAGCTATTTATGTAGAAAATCCCAGGGAATTCACAAAACAGCTCCTTTTAGCAATATCATAAAAGATTAATATAAAAAATAAATTATTTTCTGTATGCTAGTGGCAAAAAAATTGGAAATAAAATTATTATTCATTCTATTTACAGTGGTGCAAAATATATAAAATACCTAGATATAATTCTAACAAAAGATGCCTAAGATCTCTATAAAAAGAACTACATAACATTGTTGAGAGACGTTAAATATGACCTAAATGAACAGATTGATATACTATACTCATGGACTGGAAAATTCAATATTGTTAGCTTAGTGATTGCTCCCATATTGATCTATAGGTTCAATGCAATTCCAATCAAAATTCTAGCAGGCATTTTTGGTAGAAATTAACAATTCTAAAATTTATATGGAAATGCAAAGAACCTAGAATAGCCACAGAAGAACAAAATTGGAGGACTTGCACTACCTGATTCAAGACTTACAGTAATT